GTCTGTCTCGTCCCTTTTCTGTCTGTAAATCCTCAATCTTGAGCAGCTTGTTATCTGATTCTAAGAATGTTCTTTTCCCATATGCTCCCCAGCTGGCTACCAGAGTAGGTCTCTTAAAGGTTAAATTCATATTCCAGAGCATTATTTGTTAAGCATTACCTTTCCTGGGGAAAAAAGCAATATATCAATGACTAGTATATCAAAGCATCTGTACACAAGCACATGCCCACATGTGCATGTATGAACACATGCATGAACTCCCCCCACAACCTCAATGAATCTCCATGTGAAAGGCCTTCTCACTCCTTAGATTGTGTTTCATCACTTCCCAATAAACTTAGGATTTCTTGCTGCAAAGATGTCTGTCATGGAAGGGGTGACGTCACTACTGAGCTCTGCGACAATTCAGCCTAGTCAGTCGCAGTGGTAGCCAGTTTCTTGAAAAGGGTTTTTCAGTCTCTAGAACATCTTCTTGCTACTTGTTATGCTAGGATACACCTAGAGATACCCTTACTTGCTTTCCCCCCTCTCTTCCATGTACTATAACCAAATACAGGTCAAGAATGGAAGGAAATAGACCAAAAGTCTTCAGATTCCTTCTGACCTGCTCTATGATCCTGCTCTTCCAAGCGGACCCAAGTTTGTCCCCTTGAATAAAAATATCCAAATATGGTAATCAACACAGAACACTTGCTGGGGAGTAGGCTCACCTTTTGAAAAGTTTTCTAGACCAAGGTCATTTGGTAAAGTGATGGAAAGAGCTGAGGGTATGCTTAAGATGGGTGGACTTTGAGGAAGATTCAAACTGAGATCATCCATATGCAGTGGAAGAGGCTCCTAGGTTTGAAGCTTGGTTTTCTTCTGGCTTCAGCGCACTTCACTGAGACCAAGCTGGAGCTCAGAGGGACAATGTCAGGTCTTGTGTGGCTTTTCACCCACCCTCAGAGATTGATACCTGGGGGATGCATCTGGGGGATGCATCTTTCTGGTGTAGCGGGACAAACTTTCAAATAGCCAGGGATAGACTGCAAGGATTTTGTTCCTCAACACATGGACAAAGGGGATAAAATTAATGCATGTGGTTTGTGGTCTCTGCGAGCTTCAGTGAAGAGTTTTTATCTAATAAAGTTAAGTATGCACACACACACACACACACACACACACACCAACACCATACAATACATACAGATACACATGGGAAAAGGAAGGAGAGAGAAAGAAAGAGGGTGAGAAAGAAGAGAGGGAGAAGAGAAGGGGAGACAGTGAGAGAAAGGAAGAAGAGGGAGAGAGAATGAAAGAGATAGGAATAGAGAAAGAGGGCACAAGAGCAAGGCTGTACCATAAATTTGCAAGAAGAAGGAACAACACACAAGTCATCTCTTCAGATAGCCACATGGGTTCCCCAGCAATTATGTTTGAAGGCTTAGAAATACTTTCCTTGGGGATTCAGCAGAGGAGGATTAAAGACCCATCAGAAAGAACTGGAGTAGGTATTTGGTGAGCAAGCCCTGCAGATGGGAACTGGGAAAACCCCACTTACCGAGATGATTGATCCACTTTAATTGGGACCAATTCTACTCTTTGGAGTTTGGAATTTCCATAGCAATTCCAGAATGAGGGCTCCTGCAAATCCCCCTAGAGCTAATTATCATCATATCATTGTCACCATCCTCATCATCATTATAATCACCACACCCAAAGAGCCTTCTCTGTGCCAGGAACTGGTTGATTTAATTACATTGTGAGACAGCCTTGTGAAGGAGACACAGCCCTCCTTTGACAGGCAAGGAAATGCTCAGAAATGTTAAGGTCAAAGAATTGATGCCTTCACTCTTCACTGCCTGAGCATATACCCCAGAGAATTAAGAGACAGAGACCTTAAAATGCCAACAGAGTTTCTCACAGTAGCATCCAGTGAGGAAAAGAGGCCCCTTAATTCTGGGCACTGCCTTTCCCAGTGATCCTGAGAGTTCCCAGTAATGATCCAAGTTTATATCTTTATGGTCCCCAAAGTTGTGTCAAAACCTGGTTTCTCCTATCCAGTCGAAGTTTTGACCCTGCAACATACCTTTGTTGAATAAAACTCCAACAAGAAACTAAGGAAATTTCTAGAAGGTCAACACCAGCCCTCCAAGGCTCTCCTGTTTACATGTTGTTACTCACTAAATGTGTGCTTTGGATGAAACAGGCCCCCCGAAGCTTCAGAAAGGTTCTGCCTTGGGCACATCAGCCTGGTCCATTGACTCAGCCAACACTCAGATGCCTTCATTGGACAATACTTTCTGAAACAGAGCCTGGTCGATCTCCCTGCCAGTCCCCCAGCTTGGGAGAGGCAGAGATAGCAGAAGGACTGAAGCCCAGACTTTCTGGCAGAACAGTTTGCATCTCATGCCCACAGTCACGTTTTCCTGGAGCTGGCCTAACTCCAACAGCACACTTCTCTTATTTTTCTGAAAGCATGTCAACTTTCACTCAAGGCTGGGTCTACACCTGACCCTGCTGTCTAGGAACTATACTGTTCCAGGACTAGAGGATGGGGTCTTCCAAATTTATCTCCTCCAGTATCCAGATCTTCCAGACAAGGCCCTCTATCCATTGGAATAGAAAATTCAGAAGGGAAACCTAAGGGCTCCTTGAGCCCAGCCAAATGACTGGGTAAGGTCGAGTCCTGAGAATTCCCCCACCCCAATTAGCCTAGCAGTTGGCTTACTGTGCTCTGGTTGATGGCTCCCGGAAGTGATACCACCGAAGGTTTCCAGGCAGAAGGCTTGCTTTGATTTTTTTTTCTTTTTTGGTCACACCCGGCGATGCTCAGAGGTTTCTCCAGGCTCATGCACTCAGGAATTATTCCTGGTGGTGCTGGGGGAACCATATGGGATGCTGGGGATTGAACATGGGTCAGCCGCATGCAATGCAAACGCTCTACCTGCTATGCTATTACTCCAGCCTCTGAAATTTTTTTAAGTCACAATGTTGATTCTGAAATGCAAGGCTGCCCTGAAGATAAGGAAAGGGGAGAGGAAGGCCTTGAGAGAAGTCACAGACTGTCCTCATTCATCCCTCTCTGAGGGATTTGTCTTCACCCTGCATCTTGCCTCCTCACAGAGCATGATAGGAAGAGCTGCTAAGAGTTACCCAGAGGAATGACAATGAACAGTGGGCTGGCTGTGTTTGCAAGTGCTCAGCGTAGAGTGGGCACTCGGGCCACATAAATTCCTCCTTTGCTGCCCTCTCAACACTGTCTAGTGTGGTTCTGAACTGAAGTGGCTGCCACTTGATGAGCTTGTTTCTGGGAGTTCATGTGATAAACAGCAGGTGTTGGAGAGCTCCTAGGCTGCTCCAGAGAGACTACACACAGGCCCTGAAGACAGGGCAAGCCAGAGAAGGTCTAGGACAGGGCTTGGGGGCACGGGGGCAGATTTGTAGGTTCCTGGTGCTTCGGACCAGACAGGCAATTCCAGTCCTTAAGTTGCTGCCCCACGAGAGTGAACTGCTTCCTGGTGAGCAAAGTAAATCAACAGCCCCCATTAAGGTAGCCTTCTATGTCCTCCTTGGGCACTCAGGAATTATTCCTGGTGGTGCTGGGGGAACCATATGGGATGCTGGGGATTGAACATGGGTCAGCCGCATGCAATGCAAACGCTCTACCTGCTATGCTATTACTCCAGCCTCTGAAATTTTTTTAAGTCACAATGTTGATTCTGAAATGCAAGGCTGCCCTGAAGATAAGGAAAGGGGAGAGGAAGGCCTTGAGAGAAGTCACAGACTGTCCTCATTCATCCCTCTCTGAGGGATTTGTCTTCACCCTGCATCTTGCCTCCTTGAAGGCAAGGAGAGAACAGAACAGAAGTGTGTGTGTGTGTGTGTGTGTGTGTGTGTGTGTGTGTGTGTGTGTATGCGCGCTCTGGAAAGATTTGCCTCCAACTGAGCCTTCCTCTCAAAGTGAGACCCAACCAAATACCAGGGAGGAACACAACAGTCAAGGAAGGTGAGTAAGGGTGGGGATAAGGAACCATCATTCTTGAATGCCTTACGCTGTTAGAAATTCTACAGGGGATGTTTGGTTGAGACCAACGCCCCCACCCATCCAAAAGATCAGGCCGCAGTCAAGCAAGCCCACCCGACTTTCTGACTCTCAGAAGCCTACAGTCTGAGAACAGACCAAACCTCAGCCCCAGTCTCCCGGCAAGGAGCCGAAATCTGAACCTGGGTCTGACTCCAAAGTGTGGCCACTCTAATTCCTTAGGCAGCCCTTAGTCCTTGGGGGGACCACCCAGTGTGGGGAAGAAGGCATGCCCCAAGAGGTTTTCTATGGGTAAATTCCTTCCCCGTCTTGAATTATTCACCATTCATTTGAGTCTGCTTCTGCGTGGACCATACAATAATCCTGTTACAAGCAGTTAAAAAGGTTTCCTACAGCCTAAAAGGACGAAAACCATTCACCAAAGACCCAAACAAAAACCAAAGCCAAAACCAAAAATAAAACCCCCAAACCCACAAGGATAATCCAACCCTTCAACCAGCCCAACCAATTTCCCCTCCCCACCCCGCCCCCCCCAAAACCAACAAATGTGCTGAAAAGAAACTTCCAACAGTCAAATTGCCAGGTTTGTTGTTATTGTTCCAAGACTGAGGGTAACACGGGAGATGATCATAATTCTAATCGGCACAAGGAATAGCAGAGATGGGAGCCAATGCTTGAGGGTGAACTTGCCGATCTGTGCCAGCTCCAAGCTACCTAGTGTCTGGGGCCAATGGAAGTGAACAGAGTTCTTCTGAAGAATGAATCAGATGCAGGGTGGGGTGGAAACTAGCAGTAGAAACATCACTGTGTCTACAACACAGCTCTGACATCATTCGACGTGAGCACCGTTGAGGACCAATGCAAGTCCGGGCTTTGCCAACACCGCAATGCAAACAAACCAACACACAAACAAAACCCCACTGGTGTGCGTCCGCTGCGTGCAACAGTCCGTTTAACAGATGGCAGAGGCCGGAGGGACGGCAAGCACACGGATTTTATTGAGAAAAAAAAGCTTATATACTGTGGGGGGGGGGGGTTGCTGAAGTTTAATAAATAAAGGTCAACTTATAATATATAAAAACAATATAAACATTTGTATGCTACATGCATATCATATAATTTAAAGTAATAATTTATATACGGGGGGACCAGAGAGGCGGGTTCATGTTCTGCCCACTTTCCGCGACAAGGCACACACACAGGACGTGTCAATCCGTATCCACCGCCAGCCCACCAGTTTGTTGTTCTCGGACGTCAGTGCGCGCACGTACGTCTGCGAGGTCTTGCACTGCGAGTTCCAGTGTTTGTCGTCGATGCCCCGGCAGCCGTTTTTCACGGGCCTGGCCTCTTTGCAGCGCGTCTCGTAAAAGTATTGTTTCACGGGGGAGTTGCCGGTTTTGATCTCCCCCAGCACCGTGACCTGGTGTCCCCGGATATCGATCGCCGATGACTTATCGGTCACCCAGAGGCTCTCGCTGTCGCACACCGAGTACTCCCCGCGGTGGCTCTTGTGCTCCGCGTAGCGCTTCCTCCGGGAGGAGGAGGAGGAGGAGGACGAGGAGGAGGAGGAGGAGGAGGAGGAGGAGGAAGAGGAGGAAGAGGAGGAAGAGGAGGAGGAGGAGGAGGAGGAGGAGGAGGACGTCCGGTTGGCCCCCGCGGGGTTGCCCACGTAGTCCTCCATGAGGTACAGGGGAGGGGGCTCCAGGGGGGTGCTGTCACTCAGCAGCACCCGGGGCGAGTTGTAGCGTCTCTGTTGCCGTAGCAACTCGGTGTCCATGGCCACCACGGGCTGGAACTCGGCCTTGGCGGGCTCCCCCTGCTCTGTCTCGCGTGGCCTCCGCGCCGGGGCCTCGGCCTTGGCCAGGGGGCTCTGGTAGCCTTCCTGGACGCCCACCATCTGCTTGGAGAGCTTGTTTTTCAAGATATCGGCCTGGATCAGCTTGATGATGAGGGAGTTGAGAGAGTCTTCCGGCAGACTCCTTGGATCCATGTTGTTCCCTTGGATGCCCCGGAGATAAGCGAGGAATATCACATAAAACAAGATGGACATCACCTTGTTCACCTGTAAGAGCTGCAAAGGAAACACAGGTGTGAGTTGGAGGGGGCCATCAGCAACCGAGTCCATGTCCTTTGGGAGCTGGAGGGGGACACTATTCTACTGCCTTCATGGGAGTCCCCAAATCTCCGCAGAAGTTACCCAGCCGTTTTCCTATGTGTCCCCCTTGTGTCCACCTTCTGGGGTGCTCTGGTCTACCATTTGGTAGTCTCCTGCCATGGGTTCCCCCCTTTACACCTGTGGTCCCCTTGGAATAATCCGGGGGTCCACAGAAAGGGTCCCACATTGAGTAACACTGCCCCACAGCCTGACTTCTGAATCTATAGACTGCAACCCTGGAACTGGATGGATAAAAATCCGGCCTGGGTAAAAAGCTTCTTGATCAGACATTAATTGAAAATCAACTGCACCTTGAATCCCAGGTGTGTCTGTAACACTCACCCGAGTTGCATGTCTTGGGTGAAAAGAATGGCTTGCTAATGGAAAAGTTTAAGAAGCCCTGCTGTACACTAAAGCAACTTCCTCTCCTAAACTTCCTAGTGCCTTCACCTCAACGATCACTCTTCTAGCATTGTGACTAGAAAAACAAAAAAGCTGTGTGTGTGTGTGTGTGTGTGTGTTGTTGTTGTTGTTGTTGAAGGAGAGGAGAAAACTCAGCTTTTTTTAAATTGGGCTGCACTTTTTTTTAATTGTGCTGGGTGGAGGACAGGGAAGTTGGTGGTGAGCGCCCAACTCAGGGCCTCCTGCGCTAGGCCATGTGTTCTGCCCCTCAAGCCACAACCATACTTTAAAATAAATCAATAAACCTAACAGTATTAGAGGCAAGCAGCAGTATGAAAAGGCGAGGTATCTTCCTAGACCCACTGTAGCATGGGCCTGATACCAACAAGTTTCCTTTAAAAAAAAAAAAGATTATTGAATCACTGTGAGATAGACCCTTGCAAAGCTGTTCATGATGAGTTTTCAGTCATACCGTGTTTCAACACCCATCTCTCCATCAGTGCACATTTCCCAGCACCAGTGTCCCCAGGTTCCCTCCCATCACCCCCAACCCCTACCCCTCTACAGCAGGCACTTTTCTTCTGTCTGTTTGTCTGTCTCTCTGTCTATCTGTCTGCCTGTCTGCCTGTCTGTCTGTCTGTCTCTCCCCTCCCCCCTTTTGGGCATCCAAGTTTCTGTTAACCTCTTACTACTGGTGGGCCAGGTCCTGTCTCTTCTTTCAAAGTCCCCTGAGTTTAAGCAGACCAGACCCTGTTGCACTTGTACAAACAGACTTTGAACCTGTCAAGTGACTTTCTTTTATTAGCATCCACTGACTCAAAAAAACAGCTCTTCCTGGGGCTGGAGCGATAGTACAGCGGGTAGGGCATTTGCCTTGCACATGGCCGGCCCGGGTTCGATTCCCAGCATCCCATATGGTCCTCTGAGCACCGCCAGGAGTAATTCCTGAGTGCATGAGCCAGGAGTAACCCCTATATTGCCAGGTGTGACCCCAAAATCCAAAAAATAAAATACAAAAGACCGGCCCTCCAACCCTGCCACACCTCCCCACCCCCGCCCCACCCCACTGCAGCCAGTAGTGTCTGAAAGGAATACCCCAGGATGGGAGGTGGGGGTCACCAGAGATGGCCCCTCCCTGAGCGGCCAGCTGTTGGGGAGTCAGTCTCCTACCTTTGTCAATGCGCATGGAAGGCTGCTACCTACTCTGAGAGAGGGCTGGAGTTCAGGGCGCTGAGCCAGGTTCCCCAGTGGACATGTCCACGAGTCCCCCAGAGACTCTCTCCTCAAGATGGCAGCCCTGTCACGCATGCCCCGCAGAGGAAGGAGTGGCAGCGGTCACCAGCTCAGAGGAATGGGCTGGCCTGGCCCCTGAGCAGCGAGACCGCTGGTAGAATAATTTTCTCTCTCTCTCTCAGGTTTCCATTACAAAATGGCTCTCTCAGGGGTTCTATTTCTAATTCAGTTATCTCTGGGTTTCGATGGCATTTTAACCCATCAACGCTCTCGTTCGGTTGCCATAGGAGAGCCTCGACATGGGGTTTGGGTTGAGTCCTTGTGGGATTAGACGGCTGATCTCGAGACACCTGTATGGCCGGTCCCTCGCTCACTCAGCAGAGCCCAGATTTTCCGAAGGCGGGTCCCTCCATCCTCTCCAGCTGGGGAGGGGTGGCAGAGGGGTGATCCCCACTGCTCACTGAGGCTGCCATCGCCCGCCCTGTGGTTCCTGTCCTTTAATTACCTTTGCTGCTGCCTTGTGGGGTTCCCCAGGGGTATATCGCTTCCTCTTTAAAGCTCTGTCGAAGCATGGAAAATAAAAGCCCTTCCCTTGGTTCACCTTAGATATTTTCAGAAAGACTTCGCTGACTCCAGGGGGAACGTAGATGGGAAATAAACAAAGGTAACACAAGAAATAGCAGAGCAGTTGAGCTTATGAAGAGCCTGGGTCCGAGCCGGCCCAGGCTAATGCACTTCCGGACCCCAACAACACTGCCTTTCAAGTCTTGTTTCCTTGCATCACCCACACCCTCTTCCCCCCATGCAAAAGAAACATCACTGGTCCTCTGCTCCAATTTCCGTTTCCTGACTCTTTTTCTGATAAGGGGACCCCACCTTTTCCCCATGGCAGCCACTCCCTGGACTCCTTCAAGGTCAGAGGCGAGAAGGGGTTGCTGACACTGCTGCTCACTCCACACGTTGCCCCAGGAATCCAATTATGCTGGGAAAAGAAGGTTCCCATAGGAGAGCTGACTCTCTCCAATCCTTCTCCCACTGATATTCCTTTCATCTTGCAAGCTCAAAAAAATCCATAGGATTTTTTTTTTTAGATTGTTAGCACAGTGGTTAGGGCATTTGCCTTGCACGTGGCTGACCCAGGTTTAATTCCTCCGCCCCTCTCAGAGAGCCCGGCAAGCTACCGAGAGTATCCCGCCCACACGGCAAAACCTGGCAAGCTCCCCGTGATGTATTCGTTATGCCAAAAACAGCAGCAACAAGTCTCACAATGGAGACATTACTGGTGCCCGCCCGAGCAAAACTGATGAACAACGGGAGGACAGTGCTACAGTGCTTGCAAGTTCAATGAAATGCATCAAGAATGATACATTATGGGGGCGGGGGTTGAAGGCAGAACTGGCAATTCAAAGAAGGGCAGGGTAGTCGGCAAAACTCAGTGGCAGGGTGAGGACTGGAGGTATAAGAGTGTGGAAGCTCCAGCTCTCCTTACCAAATATACCTTCCAAGATAAAATGCTTAAGGATTCAAGAGGGCAACCCCAGAGAATTAAGCCCTTAGTGTGAGGCTCCCTTCTGAGCATGGGCACCTGTGGGGTGACCCCGGTGGTGTGCCCACTCAACTTCTCCAGGCTCCAGGAACTGAGCTGCCCCATGTTGGTGAGATGGAGGGTACAAATAGAACTCCATTTGTGGGCAGGTGGGCAGGGCAAAGAGTCAGAGGGGGCTATGTTCAGAGTAGTGGGTATAATCAATGACTTCATCTGCCACCTTGCAGGGAGGTTGGGAAATGAATGCCCTCAACCCCAGATAGCCTGGTCAGCCCAACCAAGTAGCAGGTTGCTACAGTGGAACAGCAGGGGTGACTGGAGCCATCAGAGAGGGCGACCAATTCCTGAGTTTGCCGAGAGTTGCCAGAGAGATACAGAGAGATAGTGTAGGGGTTAGTGGGCATGTCTTGTGTGTCACAACCCGATTTGATCCCTGACACTGCATGCTTCCCCAGGTATTGCTGGGTGTAGATTGGGCACTGCTAGGTCCAAGCAGTACTACATACCCAGGTCCTCATGTTGAACTTCCTGGCTAAGTTGACTAAGCATCCCCAAAAGTGGCCCAGAGAACCCCCTCAGCATGCTTGGAAGACCCTCCATCTTGCAAAATAAATAGATAAAAAAGACAGAACTACCAAAGGTCCGTGATGATGATTAGATACTCTTATTACTGTTTGCAAATTCTCCACAGACTGGTTCCTACCACAACACCTGTAAACACACAAACTCAGCACAAAGACATCGAGTTTGGGAAGGCACCTGGGAAAAGAAAAAGTGGACTAAACACTCCCAGTGTCATTTATGGACCGACCTTATTTTTTTGCACCATCGAGTCCAAAAACGTCGCCATGACCCTTTAGAATAGCATCGGGGCACAATCCGCTACTAGATTATTTGCAAAGCTGCATGAAAACCCAGCAGTTTCACTGTGGATCTGACTTGATTAATCTGCTTTCCAGCATTTTCACAAAGAGCCAGCCCAGGCTAGTGGACACACAGCTGTCCAAAGCCAAGATTGCCACTGATAGTCTCTTCATTCTTGCGAGGAGGAAACGGAGGCCTAGAATCTGGGTGGTTAGATAAAGGTAAAGGTAAAGGCCCTCCCGTTGATCGTCGATTTGCTCGAGCGGGCCTAGTAACGTCTCCATTGGAGACTTTGTTGTTACTGTGTCTGGCATATCGAATACTCTCGGTAGCTTGCCGGGCTCTCCGAGAGGGGTGGAGGAATCGAACTCGGGTCGGCCATGTTGGCCGCTTGTAAGGCGAACACCCTACCCGCTGTGCTATCGCTCCAGCCGGGGTGGTTAGATAGCCGAGGGTTATGTTGCAGACTTCAGAATGAGAGAAACTTGGCTGTAAAGCACAAGAAGAGCCGTGGGGCTTATGGGACAGTAGGGTAGTGTGAGAGGTAAATAACAAGACCTATCTGAATGTTCTGAGTCTGGTACCTGCCACATAATCCTAACTGAAAATGCTACCTGAACATGGACTCAATCATCTGTGACCGTATAGATGCCTCAGGCCAGCCCTCAAGGCATACATACAAAGTACCAGAGGAGCAAGAGGAGGCTGGAGCAGGGGTTGCAAAGGGGACACCCTAGCTTGACTTAGGCCTGGCACATCAGTGAATCCATCTGTTGAGGCAATGAGTTCCATGCTCTTCCCCGATGCTAAACCATTGATCCCCCACATTTTTGCAGAGACAGTGAACCTGCTGAGTTGTGGTTGTTGGACT